GGGGACAAGTTAAGAGATCTCAGAGGTAAATCAGTAAAATGAATAACTGGATGCGTTACGCTCAGCCGCTTCCGGTCTAGATGGTACCCGGAAGTGGCTGGGGCGCAGGGGGCTGGACGCACGGAAATCCCACGGGCCAATGAGAGAAGCAGAGGTCAAAAAAGAGTTAAGTCAGTGATAAAATGTTATTCTAGGAGTTTTCCCCTCTGGTAAAGCCTCGGTTTTAAGGTACTTTGCTACTTATAAATAAAAAGAGAAAGCATTTTTTTTTTTTCAAAATTAACAATTTTAAGGACAAGTAAGCAAAAACCATAAACGGTGTCTTTAAAAGAGTGGTTACAGCCCTACTTCCCTCAGTAGTCTACCCCTGAAAGAGAGCTCACCGCCAAACCTGCACTGCTCTAAAGAGACACCTGGTGACAGCTCCCAGAAGTGAAGGCAGTAGGCCTCAGAGGAGCTGGAAGTCTTCCAGAAAATTTGCTTTGCCCACTTTAACCCTTCTTGGCAATGGAAATGTCAAAATGCTGTTGGTTTTTTCTTCTTAGGCCTGGCTTTTAAAACTGAACATACTGCAAACTTCCCAAAGGGAAAAAACCAAGTCAAGTTGTCAAGGGCTGGCTCCTGCAGTGGGAGGACACTGAACTGGGAGTCAGGACCTGGGTTCCAATCCTAGCTCAGGCACAGACTAACGGTGTGGCTCTGTATAAGTCACTTCTACTCTTCATGCTATTTGTTCTATAAAAGCATGGTGTTAGGTGATACCTCGGTCTATTTTAGTTCTGATATTTTGCCTTTAATATCCAAAGAAATAAGAAGGATTATCACACTGTCATGCACACAGGGGGCTGATCACCTAGCTAACTAGAGGTCAAACTACTATACTTGCAGAATGCTTGTTTTTTTCCTCCTAAAGATTTTATTTATTGAGAGAAAGAGAGGGTGTGAACAAACAAACAGGGTGGGGGGACAGAGGGAGAAGGAGAAGCAAACTCCCCGCTGAGCAGTAAGCCTGACACAGGTGATCCCAGGACCCTGGGATCATGACTGGAGCTGAAGGCAGACACTTAAGCCACTGAGCCACCCAGGCACCCCTCTTGTAGGATTCTTTTACCTTCCAGGTGTGCAATTAATTACACAATTTCACAAATGGAAAACAAACATGGATTAAGCACCAAAAGAACAGCTCCAGGGTGAGTGCTCAGAGGAAGTGAAATTGATGTCCTCTTTACCTGCGTAGGCCACGCTGCCCTCCAAGATGAGCCCCAGCCCTGCCACAGCGAATATGTTCTGGTGAACACCACCATTGGCAAAAGTGAAACAAAGGAAACACCTCCTACAGATCCAATCTTAGTTTCCCTACAAATAAAACATGAATACAATACAGTATTGTACCTTTTCAAATTCCAAAACAATCAGGTAAATTGTTTTTTAATTACTAGTAAAACCTGCTATGCATTTATTACTATACTTTCATCAGTTACACCAGGCGTCGGTCAGATCGGGCCCACGGCCTGTTTTTATACAGCCCTTGGACTAAGGTAGGTTCTCTGTTTTTAAGTGGTTAAAATATTTTAAAAAATATTTTGTGACAAATGAAAATATATGAAATTCAAATTTCCATGCCTATAAACACAGTTTTATTAGAATGCAGTCACGGTGGGGTGCTGGGGTGGCCTAGTCCCTTAAGTGTCTGACTCTTGGTTTCAACTCAGGTCACGATCTCAGGGTCATGAGATCAAGCCCTGCATCGGGCTCCTTGCTCATCGGGGAGTCTGCTTGAGATTCTCCCCTCTCCCTCTGCACCACCCACCCCCGCCTGCCATGCTCACAGGTGCGCTCACTCTCTAAAATAATTTTTTTTTTTTAAAGGATGCAGCCATGCAGGGCACCTCAGTGGCTATTGGTTAGGTGCCTGCCTTCAGCTCAGGTCATGATTCCAGGGTCCTGGGACTGAGCCCCATATCGGGCTCTCTGCTCAGCGGGTAGTCTGCTGCTCCATCTCTCTCTGCCCCTAACCCTGCTCATGCTCTCTCTCCAAAATAAATAAATAAAATCTTTAAAAATAAATAATAAATACTTATATTTATTATTTATTATAGAAATATAGAAATATAAATATATAAATATAAAATGAATATTTATTAGTTATACTCATATTATAAATAATATCAGTCATGCCCATTTTTTTTGTCTGTGGTTGCTTTCCTGCTATGACAGAGTGGAGGAGCAGCAAAAATTTCAAACATTTACTATCTGGCCCACTACAGAAAAAGTTTGTGATCCATAAGTTATTCTACCCCATACATACCCACATCATTCTAATAAAAACTTCCAAGGGTGTCTGATTATAAAAGACTTAAAATATAGACCACAAATAGGAAAATCCTGAAAGAGGAAAAAGTGATCATGTGGAATTTGATTTTTCCAGTGTGTATGTATAAAGATATACTGGCAATGCCTCCTTGTGAGTATACACCCGACATACAGCTTTCAAACCCAGAACGAATGGCAAGCTCTCAATTTCCCTGTCTGACTTCTGCAATGGTCTACGCTGAAGGAGAAGATAAAATCTACAGAGCAAAACACTGTCACTGGAAAATACATCCAGAAACTGGAAAGACTTTAGGAAGTTAGGAAGTGCTTCCTAATGATGTCAAAATCTTGCTTTCTGATAAAAGTGTCTATACTTTCTGAGCCAAAAATAACAGGGAAAAGGGTTCTGAATAGTTTGTGTGTGCCAATGGAGTTTTTAAATTTGGGATGCACTAAAGAAATGTCAGATTCGTAACCCGTGATCCTCACAGGTCAGAGATGGAAGTGGAAACAAAGCTGAGGCCCAAATGGGTTCACAGACATTCATTCTCACAGATAGACTTTTGATAAACAGAGTTAAAAAGACAAGAATTACAAGTTTAGAGGTTTTAACAAGTGGGGCTATGAAATCTGGAGACTGAGGTTTTTGGGACAGTCAGGCTACCTGAGTGGAGCACTGTCAACCCATAAACATTAAATAAATTTAGCATCTTGACGTCCTACTTCCCAGAAAGGACCTAGTCCCAAATCAGCTTCCTAAAAGCACAAAGACTATTAAAATTGAGAGGATGATGCCAAATAAATGTATTCATGACAACTCGGTCACATACTCATTTTTAAGATTTGTACACATATATTTTAAAGACACTTTTATGTTGATTTTTTTACTAGTACAACTCAGACAAGAGGGGCACCAAAACGAACAGCAGTTGAATTCTCAGGGCCTACTCAGGAAAGATTTATACTCTATGCAGTTTGAGCACTTACCTCTGTTCTCCCTAGTCATCATTCTGTTGCCTTCCCTCCGGTCAGAAAAATTCTCATTTCATTCAGGACCGGCTCAACAGTATGTCTCCTCCTTGGCGCTTTCCCCCTGATGGGTAATGTACAGATATGCACAGATACCCACAGCCCTCCGACCTCTTCTTTCACAGGCCATTTCAGAGGATTATGTGCCCCTCAGCTCCTGACACCCACCGTCCACTCTACTGTAGTTATTAGCTCCGGCAATATGGGACCTTACTCATTTTGGGGTCAAATGTAAAAAAGACATATGAATGGCAAGCAGCAAGAGCCCCCCGATGTGCTAAGTAAGGCTAAGTTACTACATTATGCCATAGGACCACAAACATTTGAAGTGAGGTTTCTTCCCATGACTGCCTCACTGTTCATTAAAATACCGCAGCAAGGGCCCCTGGGCGGCTCAGTGGGTTAAGCATCCGACTCCTGATTTCGGCTAAGGCCGAGAGTTTGAGCCTTGCATTGGGCTCCGTGCTCAGCAGGGAGTCTGCTCCCACCCACCCACCCCACCCCCGCCGTAAATAAATAAATAAATAAATCTTGGGGCGGGGGAAATTTTGTAGCAAGCAGCCTCAGAACCATCCATTAAAGACAGGATGCCACTGGTGCAAAAGTGCAAAATTTTCTTTCCAATCCTCAAGTTCCTACTTTTCCTCATTTTCCCTTGGTGCCCTTACAGCTTGCATCTTCTGAGAGTAAACCATAAAAGCCAGAAGAAGCCTATTGCTTTCTTTATTCACGTGTTTCCTCATATTAACTGGTCTCTAAAATGAATGTGAAATGAAGAAAATATGTGTGTGACCCTGTAGGTTTCAGAGGAGAAACCAGGGAGCATTCCCCCTGCAAGCCCACCCCCCTGCATTCGCTGATGGGACTAGAATGTTGCTGGGCTTAGTAGGGGGGACGGGTCAGGAGCAGGTGAGACGGGGGAGGGGTGCTGCTGGTCTTCTTGTCAGTTGGACACTTGAGCTTTGAATGAAAAGACTGAGAGAGAAAAGTCTACATATATAAACATCACTTTTCACATCTTGGCAAACTACCTTCCTCAGTTTCTCACAAATTTATCAATCTATAAAGTGTATCCATTTGAGTCTGAACAGGGAAGAACTTGGAAGGAAAGAACTGACTCATTGGAGGCTGTGTAACTGACGCGTGTAAACAGGAGGCTTCCAGAAGACGAAAAGGAGGAGTCATCAGATTTCTGCTTAACTTTCCCTTTCCTCAAGTTTAGAATAGAAATGGGAAGTGGGGGGACAGGGAAGTACGCAGCTAAATACGGCCCAGGTCATTTTACAAGTGTAGAGCTCGTAAGTTACGCTGTTTCCAGCTGTTCAGGGAGTGTGATCTTTGGACGTCCATCAGAACAGCAAAAAAGAAGAAAAAAATCCATGTTAGAGGCGCGGATAAACATGTATGTCACAGCCGGAACCACGTGAGCTAGGTGTATGCGGGAGATCACAACTGGCCTCCTTGAAGAATAGATCTGCCCACAGCTTTCAAAGAGACTTCCTCTTCTACATACAAATCATACTGGTCTTCTTACCTAATGAGTATTATCTGCTTGAACAAAAAATAATTTTCAAGGTAAGAAAGATAGAAACCAGAGGATTTCGTTCACACCTGTACAGGAATATTGACTTCGTAAGACAAGAAAACTCAAGGTCACGGTACACAGCAGTTATTTATTTAAATACTCGAAAAGGTGGATGATGGAAAAAAATAGGTTTATCATGAGAGTTTATGTTCGTTGGATTTATTTTATCATTTAAAAAAGTGCTGCCTCCGGGTTATCCTAGCCAGATAGAGAACACTTTACAACACATGCAGCCACTGTAGGACACTATCATAGACACGCCGTTAGAGAATGACATACACTGGGGGAGGAAATTCAGTAGTAGTAATGGCGACTGTTTATTTAAACTAAAAACATTGATAATATACAAATCTTTTTTCTCATTTGATTGAAAGGGCTATAAAATTCTACATACAGACAAAGGAAGCAACATAATCATATAGGTCACGCCCCCACTAACTGCCTTTAACTCACTCCTTCCTTCAAGAAGCACTTCACTCAGCTAGGCAACTTTCTAGACTGCACGACGGCTTCGAGGCTGGCCTACCACAAGTGACTGAAAGAGAGGTGTGAGCTGACCAGGACTCCTCCGTTCTTAAAAATGGAGAGAAAATGGCAAATTGTGCCTCGTGTTCTTTAAAGAACCCAAAGGATCATTCTGAGTAAAATGTGAAATAAATAAGTGATCCATGAGTAAATACAATCTCGGAGCTGACTTAGACCTAGGAGAGTGAGCCAACCGAACACTAACAATACCACGTAGAAACATCTAGAAACATCATTTCTAGAATTCAGGTTGGGAGACCATATCTTGCCTGAATATGTACATTATTTACAAAATATTCCCTTTTGGCCTCTGAAATTTAGCCATTTGAGTTTGGCTGTTAAGCTCTTTCTTTCCATATGCTAGCCAATACTGCAGTTATAACTATCATTAAAATACTCTTATGCATGAATTACAAATATTAATAAAGTAACTCTGCATGTATAAATATCTCAATATTTCTAGCAGAATTTAAAGCATACATAAATACATAAAAGTATTTGTTTTTGGTAGGGCATTTTTTTTTTTAATCATCGCTGTTTCAACAATGCTTTGTACATAGCAAAACCCAAAACTGCAAAAACAGTAGCACCAAAACTTGCTCGAAGCCAAAACGTGGAGCTCTTGAGGTCAGCTTGTGTCACGTGCCTGTAGTCAGAAAATATAATTAATGTTCAAAACATGATTAGTATGAAAATACCAATTACATTAACAGTCTACTTTTAGGGAAGTATTAGCACACTTGTCAGGCTAATTGCATACAGTAATGCTTACCAAAAACATTTATCAATAGAGCCACACGTACATTGCTTAGATAATCATTATCTTTAGACATAACGTAGACATTAATAAAGACGAATGTCTTTACAATTAGCTACTACGTGGGAGTAATCAACATCTAAAATTTTAGACATTTTCTTCACATGGGAAATGGAGAACGTAGACAAATCAACCTACTACTTTTTAATCCCACCACGGTCCTTCAAAATGAGAGGTAAAACCGAGATCTCACAATTTTGAGAGTCCATTTCATGGAACTTAGTATGCAATCTCCTGCCAGGAATCAAAAGCTATCATGTAAGCAGTTAAGCGACAAGTGACCATACTTTTCTAAGAGCAATGCTTAAAGTCAACTTTAAAAACACTGAGCCCCAGAAAAAATTTACCCAAAAAAATCCCAAAGGGGATAGGGAAGATTTACCAGTTTGCATTAATTGGGTTACTGCTGGTTAAAGAAAGAAAATTCAGAATAAAACAGAACAACAAAAAAATAAATAAAACAAAAAAAAAACCAACCCTGATATTAGTCAGACAGGCAGTGACAATGGTACCAACTAAAGGACATCATGTAACGTGATGGACTGAAAGGTAAATGACATAAAAGAAGCCGTATTATGCATGACAAGAACAGGGACAGCCTGTACCACAAACTGGGTTTGTGAGCATGCTCAGTTAATGACACTGCTAAGCACCTTCAAGGTTCTCAAGTATGACAGCTTACCATAAAGAGGGTAACGCTTGAAAGCAAAAGCGGGCATATTTTATTCAAGGGTCACTGGAGTTTTAGTTAAATGAGCACAACTGAGGAGATGTAGAAAACTTATAGAATTAAGAGCTTAGAGAGACTGTCTAGTTCAGGTTATTTCACAAGTAGGGAACAAACAGCTTTGAAGCAAAAGTCAGACATCGTTAAAAGACCAGAACACCGACATATGCAAAAGAGTTAAGAGCCAAGAATATCAATTGTACAAAATGACTTTGCCTCAGTAATCGTCAGAGTGCCAATCAGATCAGTTATCACAAAATACAATCTGCCCATTCTAGAAACAAGTCTACAATACAAGCCAGAGTGCTCCATGCTTATCACCATGGCAAAACAACACACAGCACTCCAATTTCTTATTCTCCCCAGCTCCTTAAAAAAAAAAAAAGAAGAAGAAGAAGGAGAAAGAAAGCAAAAAGGAAAGAAAGAAAGAAAAAAATCACTCCTGACATATTATTTTACAAAGCAAAGTGATAACATGGGTTCATTCCACCTTGTGAGTTAGTTCCTCCACAGGCAATGTTTTATTTATTTATTTATTTATTTATTTATTTATTTATTTATTCCCAGTTAGGGATGAAAATTCGTAGGTTTCAGTTTTCCAGCTGGAAAAACTCCAACAAGGCCAACCCACTGGTTGTGGGAAATGTTACCTGGCTTCAAGAAAAAGTGGACCATGAGATGACGCCATGAAGATGGAATCTTCTACAGAGTGGACGGCGTGCACCTGGTGAGTAATACTGCCTTCGTCGTCTGCTAACAGCATGGCACCCCACTCAGCTACCCGGGCTCTTAACCTTTTATACACATGCACACAGTTTGCAGTTCACAGCAGAGCTCACAAGAGAAGGGGACTGAAAATAACATCTCTCAATTAAACATCCCACACAGAAATTGTGTTGCCACCCTAATATGATGCATCTCATGCTTTCTATATTTAAAATAAATGTATTCTGTAACAAATTGCCAAACTTCAAAAAAAAAAAAGTATCTATGGGTACTTTTCAGAAACACTCACATATCAGGAAAGAAAACCTAAGGCTGTTATGTACATTCTCTATATATCCCTTCGAGGCTCGTTCTTCTAGATCTGAAACACCAAGAGAAGCCCTGGAAACCAGTTCCTCAGCAGGGCCTGATGGGAGGTGGTGACTGTAAGTATTCATCAAAATGAGGTTAACGACTGTGAGTCAGGAAATTGACCGATACTTCTAACTGCAGAACACCAACAACTGCAAACATGAGTCTGCAAAAAATGGAGTCCAAACTCAGGGACTACCAGAGACCAATGATGAGAGTTTCGAAGTCTGTAACTCCCAATCAATAGAGACGTGTAGAATTTAAAGTGAGAAACAGGCTAAAAGGGCAGGAGAGCTTTTTTTTCAGCTTTGGTCTCTCTCTGATTTTGATGCATCTTCACTGATGAAGGATTTTTGAGATTTCTTTTACTTTTTTTTTTTTTTTAATTTGGGAAAGAAAAGGGCTAGGATTACAGCTAGCTGTCATCACGGTAAAATCAGTCAAAATGATTTCTCATAAATAGTTTTCGAGTATGGAATCGGTTTCACATAACTCCCTTTGTTGTATTTTAAGCAAGTATTACCATTCGTGAACTAATATATTCTGACTTTATTGCTTCGTTTATTTTTGCATTTCAAGATTACTTGAATTATTCAAGTAATTACTGTTTTCCCCAAGCTATAGTATAGCCTTCTATAGGCAGAATAACAGTTCATATTTATATATAAGAAACAATAAAGATACACGGTCAAGATATACCCAGTTTTAAACTTAAGGCAACTATTAATTCGTAAGATATATTCCAATGACTCCATCAACCTTATAGTGGTTGCGTAAGATACCTGTAGACATGGAAACCTACTTAGAGACCTATTTTATGCAGTTAGCATGTGCATTTAAGAGATGCACTAACCAGGTTCTCTATATATGACAAAGCATTGATAATGGATGGCACACTCGTCACTGCCTAGCTGACTGACAGCACCTGGAGAGAGAACAGTGAGACGATCTTAACTGTACTCCCTAAGTATGAGACCTGAGCCATGTTTGCCACTTCAGGTCTCAAGCTGAAAGCAGAGCAATCGTTTCACGAAGCTGCCTCCTAGTTCATTTCTAAACTCAAGCAAAAATAATTCTTTCACAATTCAGAAGTATAATTCTTTCAAAATGACTCACATAAAATATCATTTTAGAATAAATTATCTTATGGCATGCTTTTTTTTTCTTTTTAGTTTATTATTATTATTTTTTTACTGTCAAAAAGGTAATAGATGCTCATTATAAGATATGAGGAAAATAAAAATAGGAAGAAAAAAAAAATCACCTAGAGTCCCATCACCTAAGGCAACTAATTAAAATGTAGGGCATTTCCTTTTACTTTTTCTATGTGTTTCTTACACAGCTGCAAACACAATGTGTATAAATTATAAAACTTTATAGCTTTTTAAAAATTTACTATTATGTAAGGACTTTTTCATAAATTACAGAAACCTCATTTTAACAGCTTTACTGTATCTGCTTCCCCTATGGGTGGTGGTCTCTATTTACTGGTGACTATAACTAAAGGATGAATATCCTTCTACATAAGATTTTTCTCTGTATTTAGTAGAGTTTCCTTAAGAGACTTCCCAAAAATGAGTATTACAAGGTCAAAAATGTGTGTGCATGTGTATATATAAAGATTCTCTTTAAAAAATCTTACTGAGGGACTCCTGGGTGGCTCAGTTGGTTAAGCGTCTGCCTTCTGCACAGATCATGACCCCAGGGTCCTGGGATCAAGTCCTGAATCAGGCTCCCTGCTCAGCAGGGAACCTGCTTCTCCCTCTGCCTTCCTCCTCCCCTGCTTGTGCCCCTTCTCTCTCTCTCTCTCTCTGACAAATAAATAAAACCTTAAAAAAATAAAATTAAATAAAAAATAAAAAATCTATTGATATACCAGAATCACATCTTCCTTCTCTATGTACAATAATTTAGTTCAGCAGTATCTCTTATTAGAACATAAGAAATAATGACAAAATGCTGGAATAAAAACCTTAATCATCTGAAGCTTGTCAGAGCTTCTAAGTTCTTAGGTGGAAAATTCTTCATATTGGATGCTGGCTTTCTGCTTAGAAGTCCTGAGGGCCCATATGCCAATCAGATGTCAAGCGCTTTTTTTTTTTCTTTAAAGTAGGCCAAATGTGGGGCTTGAACTCACAACCTGGTGATCAAAAGTTGCATACTCTACTGACTGAGCCAGGCATGCACCCCTACACTGCTACTTTTAATAAGGCAGAGAGAAGGAAAGGTTTCAAACTTCAGGCAATAAAGGCTTAAATTAAGAAGTGTCTGTGTGAACAGTCACACAAGGCATATAAAAGAGTAACCACAATTCCTAGGGACCTCTGCACAGAATGCCATAAAACAGGCAGACAAGATACTTTTGATTCACTCTGCAATTTACAACATATATAAGAACATGAGTTAAAATTTTTATCGGTTCAGTGTATTTGACCAATAATAAAAGGAATGGTTATCAGTTGCACTATTTAGAAACAAAATAATCAAATTCTAAAGGGCTCAATGGAATTAACCAATTTTAGCTATTCCCAAATAGGGTATTTTTAATACTGTTTTTTATAACATGTCCCAGGTCTTTATATATCTGGGGTATAAACACTATATTGCAGAGACCTAAGAGTCTGCAAAGATTAGAATTTAAGGAAGGTGGCGAGGGGGGGATCCAGAAAGGTCCAGATGTCAGTTGCAGGCTCTTATGAGGAGGAAAGAAAAGTTCAATGGAGCGAACTCAAGGCAGCGAAGAGCAGTCCCACCCAGGTGCTTTTACCAGCCGTCTGTGCAACTTTGCAGAAATATATGCGAATTTCCTAGATTGCATTCTTCTCATCTTACCACCCCATCCTTTCCAAACCCAAAGCAGAGATGTACTGATGCAGAAATATGAATGTTCTTCTAATTTTCTAATTCTACCCACATAAGGATTTCAAGTAGGAATTTTTAATTTAATACTTTGCAACCGCCTCTGTAACTGTAATGCATGGAACCTAGTCACTAGGGCTCACAGATAGCACATAGAGCTTTTTCC